GCATAAAATCGGTTCGCGGTCAGTGAGCACAACCAGGATTCATACATAAGGCGCGCTGTCGATTTTTGAGAAAATGAAAGGATTTTAGGCGTTAGCGCGGTTAGCTCGTTAACACGTTGACGCCGTGCAGCCCCACGCACGGGGCGATCCGCGGTAACTCCTTAACAGAGATTTGCCCCGTTAATGCAGTTACGGCGTTAACGTCACGCTGCAGCACTAAATGTCCAACTGTTTTCTTTTTACCGAGCAGCTCCTCTGAGGCAGCTGCCGTGTCCGTCCTGCCTGCAGGAGAAGCGAGGGGGGAGGTTCTGTTCAGTGAAGGAGAGGCGGAGTAACGCAGTGCAGAGACAAAAGAGAGGCAAACTTGCAGCTCCACAACTATAATTATAACGTAACATAGACTATATCGATATAAAGGATATTGTCACATCTCATATAAAAATATATTGATATATTTAAAAAGTCAATATATCGCCCAGCCCTACTTTCAACTAGTCACTTGTTTGGCAGTGAGAAAGTAGAGCGATGAAAAGCATAAAGAGCCTGTTGGAGGACATGAATTAGTCTAAGGCTGCGTTCACACTGCAGGCGAAAGCGCATCAAATCCCAATTTTTCAAATCCGAAAATGTTTTTGACCCTCTGCGACCCATCTATCCCATCATGGTATGACAGTGTGAACGGCACAAATCCGATATTTTCAAATCCGATCTGGGTCACTTTCGTATGTGGTGCTGAATCCGATACATATCTGATGTTTTAGAAAGCGACTGCTGTGTGAACGGTCAAGTCGCATTAAATCCGTCTTTTACGTCACTGACACAAGACAGACGCCAATTATCAGCTCCGGAGAAGCGCCCGATAAGACATCGCGAACGCATCCTGGCCATCCGGTGAGACTGCTGGGAAGACAACGTTGGAGAAACGTGAACATTTTATTTGTACTGTATAATCTGCAGATTCTGACAGAAATCTGCAGCTATCCTTTGAAGCAGCGCTCCTCTAAAACAGCAATAAGGATCATTATTAGGTTATTCACATTATTATGTAAATAACAAAATAAAGCAAAAATTGGGAAACGTGAAGTCCGAAGTCTTTATATTAAGGCCATCAGTCAAACATACTGTTGCTCTGGGTCTAAGCAGAGCGCGTTGTGTGTGACGTCTGCTTTTGCGCATGCGGGCGCTCTGAGCGTTCACACTAGAGCGCGTTTGCTGTCGCATTTTATTTGTGGTGTGAACGAGCAGACAAAAACATCGGATTTGATCAAAAAATCGGAATTGAGCATCAAGACCTGCAGAGTGAACGTAGTCTAACATCCACTAGCTTAGCTTGTTCTGATAGTCCAAAGGTTCGTTTACGACCTGCTGAAATTGTCATTCAGAAGAAGTTGACGGCCACAGGAGTCAATTTGGACAGGTGACAGGGATGGAGGGGTGAAACAGAACTGTGCCTTCACGCCACGCTGTCCGACTTAGCTTTGAGGGTTTTCATTTGTTTTTGCTTCTGTTTGTTTGAGCCTTGTTCTACACTCAAGTCAAGACAGCAGCTGGGACCAAACTGGGAAGTGGTGGCTGTAGCTCAGGTGGTAGAGCAGGTCACATGGTGCTGTAACAGTAATGTACACTGTTCTCTCATTTAGCTGAATATCTGAGTGTTTTAGTTTGTGGTGGTTAGTGGAGTAAGAATGAGTCCTGGAACATCTCTGCTTCCTACACAGCGGGCTGAGTGCTGTTTCATGGCATTGTGGGCCTTGGAGCTGCATTCCTCTGCATGGAAGATGTTACAGTGACACCACTGAATGTCAGACTGCTGTCTATGCCACACCTTGTAAACATGAACGTGAGTTTGTCAGAGAGCCAGTGTTCGGGCTGTTTTTGCTAGCGTGACCTGCGGGGTCTGATTTTAGGTGACCTTTGACATCTATCTCCTCGATATACTACATACGAATGTAGGATTTTGTTTAAAGCGAAGTGTGGACAGGGGTCTGCCCCCGAGGCTTTATTTGGGGTGGGTCAAGCAAGGCTGAGATGAGCTGAGAAATGTAGTGGAGAACCTGATACACCTGAAAGATGAAACTCATTCCTGAAAATCCTCAGCCAGCCTAATGGCTGCGAAGTTCCTGCGTCTGTGGTTGGGGAGTTTAACTCGGTGTCTATACTGCAGCACAGAGAGCCGTTCGTTTCAAGGCTCTGCTCCTGTGTTGCAGCTCTTCTTTGCAGCTGTTGTGCTGAAGTGGATCTCAGTGATTTGGCAGATAAAGAAAATCGTGTCATTGCAGGAAGGATGTACTGGAAGGAGGACGAGTGTTTATATCATAAGGTGTTACAGTTTAATAGGTGATGTAGCACGAGTAAGAGTCAGTGAGCCTGCCTGTGGGATCATTATTATTTCAGTGCAAAGCTGCTTTTGAACATATCTTGATGTAGGGTATGAACTAGAGCAGGGCGATATGGCCAAAAATATTGATCACGATATATATTTGAAAATTTGCGATAACGATATAACTGACGATATAATTGGTGCGAGACAAAATACAACTCCACAACATTACTAGCGCAAAAAGACAACCTTCCATTTATTTTCACTAAAACAAGAAGCTGGTTTTTATATACATTAAAGCTTTATAAAAATGTAACAGTGCAAATGCAAATTCCTTGCTGAAAGTTTAACCAAAAGGCATTTCCAGTAGAAATGGGCTGACATATCCTGAGCATAACCATGTATAATATCCACTGAAGTTAAAAAGAGGTGCTTTGCAACATTAAACTGCAGTGTGCAGTACGTATTTTTCGGACCATAAGGTGCACGGGATTATAAGGCACATTAAGCGAAACAAAGCAGTCAGATAAATCAAACTTTATTAAACTCATTCTTCTTGCTTCCTCCACTTCTGTACCATTGATTCATTAATGTTGAATTCTCTAGCAGCTGCTCTATTCCCATGTTGTTGCAGTATATGAATGACTAACCTCGTATTGTGGATGGATTATCTCAGTTGTTCTCCTGACTGAAGTTTGGTCCGTTTACAGCATCCTGCTATGCGATTGCATTTGTCTCTAACCATGAAGAACCTTCACGTTAACTTTTATAGGTGGAAAAGTGTTAGTGTTCGTCCTCCTTCACTGTTTATGTTATGCTAACATAGCTGTGTCGCTAGCGATCACGTAGCACAACATTATATACCAGCTAGCCCAACTTCAGTAACCCTACAAACGTCACTGCTGTTTAGTTTCCTGTCTTCATTTATGTTGGAAGTGATAGCAGAGCTGTACGTTTGAATTTTTTCAGAAATCTCTCAGTCAGAACATGCTATATCATGCTTAGGTAACTAGCGAAACTAGCGAGCTAACTTCCGCTAGCTTCCTGCTAACTTCTAACTCCGTTAAATGTAATAACTTTTGTTTTCATGGATGCCTGGAAGTTAAACTTTATAGTTACACCTGGTAAAGCAGCAATGCTGATCGTTTAATTACAGATGGAAGAATTTAAACAGTTTTTAACTCTCAGTGATGCTGCAGTGATCGTTTGACTTTGGGACCTGAAGCAGACAGAGTCTGGGACCCAGATTACTCCCAGATTGACGAGCACCTTAGTCCGACAAACACGGTAATAACGACGGCCGCTTGCATGTTCTACAAAAAATGTGCTTTGTTGTGTATCTGACGGACGAAAGCTAAACCAGTTCCACACCACTGCAGCATTTTTACAAACCAGTTCTGGTTCATCTGTTTCACTAAACGATCCGCTTTCGCCCTTCTCATTCTCCGTCACCGCCATGCTTTTTCCTCTATGTGCGCGTTTTACCCATATTCTATTGCCATATTTCATTTTCTTATCGTTGCCTGACGTTATACTGGTATTACCGTGAATGGTGTGATATGGCCCAGCCCTAGTATGAAACTAAACATGTAGTGCTTCATGTAGAAATTTGAACAATGTTGATAAAGTTTAGCTTGTAGGGTTCATGAACAAAAAGGCCCAGATCTCTGTAACATAGTGAAAAGTAACATTAGAAATAGTAGGAAGAATGATGTATTTTAGTAATATCTTGTGTTTTCTGTTACATTCTGCCAACTAGTCAGGTTAGAATTAAAACAAGTCAAAGTGTCCGGTATTCTTGATGCCACGATGTGACAGAGCACTCACTGCTGCTGCAGTGTGTGTCGGGTCATACGCTGCTCCTGGGTTTTATTGCAGAAATGCATCTTTTGTTTGTGTGGAGCTCATTACAAACTGTCAGAGAACAGGATGTATTTACATACAGACTAACAGGAGGTTAGTGCAGTGAGCCTTAAACATCCATGGTGGTGATATTGATCCATGTCAGAGGGCCCGGTGGCGCCTGTGTCCGGCAGCCTCGCCTCTGTCAGTGCGCCCCAGGGCAGCTGTGGCTACAATGTAGCTGCCATCACCAGTGTGTGAATGTGTGTGTGAATGTGTGGATGACTGAATGTAGTGTAAAGCGCTTTGGGGTCCTATGGACTAGAAAAGCGCTATACAATTCAGGCCATTTACCATGTAATGCTGTTTGACAGTAACACAGTTTAATGGTGATGTTTTCATAGTGCAGTACTGCTACTTTCTCCTAAATATTCCTCCAGCACTCTCATTAACAGGAAATTGTTACTATAGAAATATTGTTTAGCAAATATATTATACAATAAAAGTAATAATATTGTAGCATACTTCAGCCAGGAAGGAGTAGGAGGAGATGCAGAAGGCTGTGAGAAAATGATGAGATGGTTTCAGTGGGTCGTGTTAAACTGGGAGGAAGATGTGCATCCATCCCTGTGTCCTCAGGGACCACAGCTGGTCCTTAACAACACATGTAGTGCTATGAAAATACGTTTTATGAATAAATGTTGACTTTGCTTGATGTCTCCTCCCATGCATCCTTATTGAACCAGATTGAAGTTCCTGTTTTTCAGATGAATGCCTCCCCCTGTGTGTGCCTGCTTCGCCTGACACATCTTTATGCCTGTTTTTCTGCCTTCAACAGGTCTTTTCAATCTTTGCCTTTGCCACCATCGGAGGTTACACTGGGACAACCCACCTCACAGTCAGCTGTCCCGACGGAGACCAACCTGTAGAGGCGTTTTTTGCCTACCCGTTCAGGTACTGAAGAGCACTGGCACTCTCCCAGTCTAGTTTCTGATGCAGTGTCCTGATAGGTCCAGTCCACACCTTTACCTCATTAGTGTAATGAATGGTACGATATGATCCACAAGCATAAACTCTGCTTTACAGATGTGTTTGAGGACTTACACAGACACAGAGGGACCACAGGTACAGCTGTTTTACTAATGTGTCCGTCCAAAGCTGAATAAATGGTCATTACAGTTCAGCTTGATGAATTGGATCATTTTCTAACCTTTGTGTCCACACTAATGTCCAAAACTACTCCAACCACCCTGCTGCTCACTTACAAAACCTTAAACACGTGTCCTGATACGCCAGATCACATTGGGGTTCGTGGTACCAGCTTCACAAAGACCCATAAATGTCCACCAACTGTAAAACAGTTTCCTCTCTATTCCTGCTCATTTGTGTTTTAAATAAAACAAACAATATAACCTGCTGGAACAAGTCAGTCAGTGCACAGCTGCAGATGGTTGTACATCACTGCAGGTCATCCTCTGGAGTCAGTACATGCTAATCTCTGCATAGTTTGAATATAGATCTAATCCAGGTGATGTGGAATAACACTGTGATGTTAGCCATTCTCTGGTAGTAGCAGGCTAACATGTGGACTTCTTTAAGTTTCTTCAGGACGGGTCAGCTCTCATCTGAGAAGCTTCTTCAGTTCTAAGAGCGACTGGTGGAGAGGCCCACATTTAAGCCCTGGGACTTTCTACCAATGACCTTAATGACCTTAACCTCCTAGGACCTGGCGTCCACATGTGGACATCATATTTTGGGTTGTCTAGACCAAAATACAGAGTTTTGCTCTACAAAGGCCTGATATCCACGTACGAGACGTTATACTGCCACTGTTCTATTAAAATGAACGTCCTCACATGTGCATTTCATTTTTCTCAGAAACAAAAATCAGGTAATCCTGTGCTCTTACTTTCATCAGGTCCCAATCAGCACAAAGAGAAATGCTGTGGAAGAGTTTGGGTCTTAGGAGGTTATTGACTGATCCTGAAAACTTCACAATGTTGATCAGTTTTTGTAGCAGCAGTTTATTTAAACCATATATGAAGTTCCATACTCTACTGTGTAATGCTTTTAATTGTTAAATGTATGTTTTATAACAGAGGGGAGACGTGCATGTAATGTGGTCTGTGCATATCAGGGGGATTGGTGCACATGCATGGAGGTTCTGTAAGTGACAGGGATGCTCTGTGTAGGTTTACATGCTTGTATGCACAGAAAGGTGTTTCAAAGAGGAAAAATGTTGGATTCATAAATCGTGTTTATATCTTTGTTTATGTTTGTAGGTCATCGTACGCATTCGTAACCCTTTTGAGGCATCACTTCTCTCAATAACACAGTCACATAATAATAAAGTGCATGTTGCAGTTAGGATGTAGAAGCCAGAAGAGTGTGTGCTACTTTTATTCTAGTAGTTCTGTTGGACACAGACATGCACATGTAACATTAGGACTGTGATTCTATACCAGTGTGATCAGAATGAAATGGGAACAAATGGAAATGCTGTTGTGACACAAGAACAGATGTTAGAGTCGTCATGGGGCAAATAATTGTTTGATCACCTGCTGAATTTGTAATCAGGCACATGGTTGACTCCCTGGGTTATTACCTCCTGGGCTGCTCCGTCATCTCTGCTTCATGCAGCAGCTCTGTGAAGGATGCAACACTTGGTCCACCCATCTGTATCTGGCCTTGCAGCCTGTACCCCAGGCACTCAGTGGGCACTCAGTGGGCACTCAGTGGGCACTCAGTGGGCACTCAGTGGGCGCTGAGCCTGCTGCTGTCCTTCAGTGCCCAGCTGGTGGTGCTCAGCTTACCCAGCTAGATGTCCACCAGGCGGGAGTGGACGGCTTAGGCCTTGCACCGGTGGACAATTGCTAGCATTTCCATGGCAATATTGTTTGTGACTCTATTTGTCACGGGGCTTTCTGCACATACCACTGGTGGGTCCACTGCCACAGATCACTGCTGTGACCCTGTCAGCCAGGGGAGGAGCCACACAGGTGTATCACATCAACCTCCTTAAAGGATGGAGAGAGGCTCCCCTCCCTCCATTGACCGTCTCACACAGCTGTGTTCTCCCCTCTGCGTGGCTGCACCTCATAGAGCCTTTTGTTACGCACCTTGTGACGGTGCGTTCATGACCCTGAACACAAAAGAAAGATGGTGCAGAAAGAAATGGCTGAAATGCTGAAGATGGAAGTAATAGACGAGTCGCACATCACCTTCCTTCACTACATAGTCCTTGTAGTGAAGGAAGTGTTGACTACTGCAGGGTACATGAAGGATCAGTGTCCTATGCCCCAGGTTGGGCACTGCACTGTTTTTCTGCTGGCAGATTGCCGTGTCTCCAGAAGGGAAAAGCGTCCTTCTCCGCTCCGTACAGCTTGGTTCGTCACGTGTGTTCGACTTTTTCAGAGCCCCAGCCACTGCAGTGCCACGTGGCCACGCAGGAGCACCTGCAGATGGATAAAACGGCAGCCATCATATCCTGCCAGCATCCCAAGGTGCCGCGGTTCTTTCGGGCTAGCTGGTTACTACCACCAGTTTGTGCTGAACTTTGCAGACCTGACCAAAAGGGTGGCCCAGATCTGGTCTAGTGGACGGAGCAGTGCCACAGGCAAAGAAGGCCCTCTGTGGGGAAGCCCTGCTTCCCTCCCATTCATTCTGCAGACGGACACCTTGAACAGAGCCTGGGGGCCATTTTGTCCCAGCAGGTAGGGTGGACCACTCTGTCATTTACATCAGCCTGTCAGAGTGGGTGCAGCACCGTTGAGTTGGAGATGACTCCGCCTCTGTTACCTCCCAGGCTGCCCATTCAGCAGGGAATGAAACCATTATTTTCCTGTGTTTTTAACTCTGTGGGGGATTTTCAGATGATCATAACCAGGGATGTGAACCATGAGGCCTGCAGGTCAGAGTCAGGCCAACAAAGTTTTCAGTGAGGCACTGGGGGCTGCTTCGGGAAAGGGCACATACGTTTTCAACTTGTAACTGTATTTTTATAGGTTTATAGTAGGGCAGGGCGATGTGGCCTAAAGTCCATACCATGGGCTAATTTGAAGCATGTGCCGTAACGATATCTATCACCATATGTTCTTGTCTTCTGTACAGCGCTCCCTCGCTATAACGTGGTTCACCTTTCGCTGTTTCGCCTTTTTTTTCCTGCATGCTGTTTTTTGGGGTTTTTTTTACAGCTTATTGTGTTCTGCGTCCTGATTGGCTGTAGACCATTGTCAATCAATCGTGTGCCGTGTCTCCTGTACAGGACAGGATGCGGTCAGCTTGTCAAACGTAAATCTTCGATCCTAGCAGTGTGACTCTGAAGTGCTGCACTGTATGTTTGTACGTTTTCTCCTCAACAAACAACAATGTTGACGAATCGTTTCGCACCGTCGAAGGCTCCAGCAGGTGCCGTTGGTTTCATTCTTTAACACTGGACTTCTACGAAGGTTTGAACTGTGAGAGTTTAAACAAGAGAGAAGAGTGTGAAAATGTTCCTGCCTGTCTGAGAAAAGAGTATAACGTGTGCAGTGACGGGTTTTACAGCCTTTAAACATCTATAATAATTGTAAAAAATAAAGTTGGCTACTTCGTGGATTTCACCTATCGCGGGTTCTTTTTAGAACGTAACTCCTGCAATAAACGAGGAACCGCTGTATTTCATATTTTCCGCACTTAAAATCCTTTAATCTTCTCAAAAATTGTCAGTGCGCCTTATGTATGAATCCTGGTTGTGCTCACTGACCTCGAACCGATTTTATGTGCTACACGGCGCTCAGAAAGTGCAACTTTGCTAAGCTACGAAGCCGCACAGCCTGATGGATTGCTGGAGCATTACGGCTACCGTAGTCAGGAGCCTCGCAGAGTGATCTGGGTCCTAAACTCCGCCTCTTCAGGTCCCAAAGCCAAACGAATGCTGAGAGTTAAAACTGTCTAAATTCGGGGGGTCCACTAGGGGGTGCGTTATGGAGTAGACGTGCAAACCACTAGGTCCCATTTATCTGTTAAATTACTTTATGGTTCACCTATTGTGGCCCAATTCAGAGATTTCTTAAGCTCTATTAAGAAAGTCAGCATTGTTTTAGCTGTTGTTCTTTCCGTCTTTTTGCCTTATCTCGAAGTGAAATGCCTCCTAAGCAGTCTGCTAAAGGAGCGCAGGCTAGCTGCTCAGAGACCGCTAGCAAAACTACCGTTGACCCAGCGACACTGCTAGCTTTCCGCGACATTGTCAAAGAAGTGATTCAAGAGGAAAATGACAACCTACGGGACGAAATTAAACGAGCCATTTCGCCCATCCAAACCACTCTTGACGAATGTACTGAGAAGTTGGGCGAACACGAGGAAGGCTTGAATAATCTGGACAAGCGGCTAGAAGTTATGGAGACATGTTTCGCAGATCTGAGTAACCAATACAAGAAGTTGCTGCTGAAAACGGACGACTTGGAGAATTGGGGAAGACGATGCAACTTGCGTATATTAGGAGTGCTGGAGGGAGCCGAACAAGGGAATCCCACTAAATTTGTTGCTGATCTGTTGCCCGTTGTACTGGGTGGTCCCGGCGGTTTGGAGCAGGCTCCGATCCTGGACAGAGCTCACCGGGCGGCGGTTGCACTGCCCACGGAGGGAGGGCGACCGCGGCCGTTCATTGTTCGCATTCATTACTACCAGGAGAAGAAGCGGATACAGCGCTTAGCCAGACAGAAAGGCCGGCTGGAGTTTCAAGGGAAGCAGATCTTCATCTTTCCTGACTACAGCGCCGACCTGGCCAGACGCCGGGCTGCTTTCAGCGAGGTGAAGGGACTACTACGGAAAAAAGACGGAGTTCGCTACGGTCTTCTTTATCCTGCCCGGCTTTGGATCTCGTTTAATGGAGAAACACAGGTATTCGACTCTCCTAAAGCAGTGAAAGATTTCATTGACTCCAAGTTTGAGTCATCTCCCAAATGACATTTCAT